GTCATTTGTGTATGTTTTATATTTAATTTACTAATATTTCCTTTATAGAATGTTACAAAGGCTATTAGTCTTTTGGATAGCCTCGTCTACGGATTTAATACATCTTTTACCTCATTTTGCAATGCAAATGGTGTCCGTATATTAGTAGACAGAATTAAGGTTAGTCTATTGGCTTTAGTAGGGGAAAGCCTTAGAAACATTCTCATATATGATTGAATTACCAGGATGAAGTTGATTTGGGGGTACAGCTTGCAAAAGATGCTCACGGTGATCGTATGGAAGATATAACTATCGCAAGTTCTTCTGATGCTGATCCATCATCTTCAAAAGGTATTTACGTTTCTTTAATACACGGTGAACCTTTCCTTTTTCTTTAAAATTAATTTTTTTTTTGTTAGTCGATGTTATTACTCCTGCAACTGCAGAAAATGAGGTATCACTTCCATACGAGAGGTCATCTTTGTTAAAGTCGATGTTAAAGTTTGTTTTACACATGATGCAAGCCTCCGGTACAGCAGACGGTTTGCGAAATCTTATAGACACTTCTTTACCGGATTCTCTAAAGAAGGTTTTTGAGTTACCAAATACTTTTGGTAGTAGCATATTTGCTCTTGGTATGTATCTGAAACTTATTTTTTTTTTTTTTCTTATGCACCGTACTCACAATTCTGGTTGTAGCAATCAACTTGATTGCAACATTCATCCATAATGAACCTACCTCCCTTCCGATTATGCAGGAAGTGCAACTTCCACAAACTTTCTTAAATTCAATATGCAAGGAAATTCCTGCATCGGTGGATGTAAGTTTTGATTTACATTTTATTTATTTTTATTTTTAATATTTAAAATAATGTCTATTTGATTAAAGGTTATTCAATCAATTCCAAATGCATTTGGAGCAATTTGTTTGAATTCGCAAGGGATGGATATTTTCAAAGAGAAGGATCCAATTGATAAATTCTTCACAATTTTTACTTCAACCGATCATCTACGTGCGCTTCAAGATGGAGATGTTGCTTCTGTTTTAGGAACTTCGATTGATGAATTAATGAGGCATCATCCAGTATTAAAGCCAAGTATTATGAATGCAACGATGTCGGTTTTACAGCGTATTCTTGATCTTGGCAATAGTGAAACTTCTGTTAAAGATGACTCCAGCACGTTGCACATCGGCCAGGATGACGATCAATCGGCAAATTTGGAGATGCGAGTGGAGTCAGAACCGACAGATACAAATATGACAGATTTAGATTCATCGAAACCTGAAGAAAAAAAGGAAAACACAGTGGTTGCATTTATTGAAATTGCAGCGAGGGTATGCGCTTAATTTATATTAATATTATCTCGAGTAATGTTTATAATTATTGCTAAATAAGTATCATAATAAATTTAACAGTTTTTAGAAGGTCTATTGCAAACTCAAAATCATTGTAAAGATTTTCTTTCGAAAAATGGCCTTAGTATGATTCTTAAATTTTACGCACTACCGACGGTACCCTACGATTTTGCGAGTTCCCAAGCGTCATATTCTTTGTCACATTTACTGCGAGTTATTGCTGATGTTGATCCGAAAAGGAATGTTACGTCAATAATTTCCGCTCTTAACGAGGCACTTCAAAGAGCAACAAATTTCTTATCGTATGAAGGAAAGGGCGGTCTTCTTTCAGAGTATATTGATTTAAGAGGTATATCTATTTTATAAATGAACAATTTGTTAGGAATTCTTAATTAATTATTTTATTTATGTACTCATTCTTAGCTACCGACACTGTTAAGGTCGAGGAGGCGAATTCTACATTTAGGGCTTTAATTGCGCTACACGGATATGCAGGGTTGCTTTCAGATGTGTATTGTACTCCTGTTTTCTCTCATAGCAAGAGTGCTTCGTCAGTTATTGAGGCTTTCGTGGGAGCTGATAGCGAAATTTTGTCTGCTCTCGGTAGATTACATCGGTAACATTGATACTACTTTATTTCTGTGCCTTTTCATTTGCGTCTTAATTTATATATACTTTGGAATATTTTAGTGCATGCGTGTGGGAGAATGTTATTTTAAAATCTACCGTACCCAAATCATGGTACAATACTCCAACTAAAATGAAAAGGCCTTCGCTTCTTCCAGAAATTTCTTCAGGTGTATCTTCGTTGTTTGATGAAGTTGAAAAAGATAACGCCGATTCAAATGAACCACCAGTTGATCAAAATAATCGCCAAGTTAAAAATGCCAAATATTTCAAGTTTTTAGTATCCCAGATACCTTCGTGTTTGACTTCTTTATTTCAAGGTAACCTTGTCAGGCTACATAATTTGTTCTAAATATATACAGTTATTTAATCTTTTTTTCCTTATATGCGGATTTTAGGATTAGCAAAAATGTTATTTTTACGAAAAACACCGCCAGATCCCAATTTGAGAAAACATGCATTCAAAATTTCAGACGCTATTGCCGAAGTTTTGCGCGAACATTTAACCTGGCCTCGTTACAGTATAGTATTATTATTTTTTTTTTTGTCTTCCTATATACATATATTGCTTTTTTTATGAATTTTGCTTATTCTTCTGTAATATCATTTAGACATCGACAGCGGTTCAGAATCTTCTAATAAATATAGTTATCTTACAGTAATGCTTGGACTTTTATCTATACTCTTCTTAGATGGTAAGTTAATTAGATGCATCTTAAGTCTTTTATACTAGATTAACATTAATATTATATAATTGTTGAAGAACGAAATCAGGTTTCTCTTCAGACAATGCTGGTAGTTTCATTTGACCGTGTTGGGGGTTTAGAATGCGTATTCAATCTGTTTCGGCAACTCTGGGAAGAGGCTGATGCAATTAAAACTCTTGATGAATTTTCAACGATAGAGGCGGATGACAAATCTAAGGAAAAGCTTTCAAGAATTCACGGGTGTATTGATGTTACTTTGAACTTCTTCCAATTCATTGGATCGTCAAAATTATTGCATGAATCAGCACAGACAGCGCCCTTAATGTCGAAAGACAAAGATCCACGCTTTGATCCATTTGATCCATGTGAATTTCTCGTAAATGTTCGCGCTAAGATTCTTCCAGTAATTAATGATTTTTGGAACAAATCGTATCTCCAGAAAACTCCACCGAACATCGTTCGTTCAGTAATTCAAAATTTAGTTCAGATCTTAAAAGCAGAGGGAGAGGTTAATCACCGTCCTGAGGGGTCAGGCTCAACAAGTGGCGGTTTAGCTTCAGTGTTTGGTGCAACCCGGTCTATGATCCCCGACGAAAGCAGAGTGCAGCAATTGATTGACATGGGTTTCTCGCGAGCAGCGTCAGAGACAGCACTTACGCGTTGTAATAATCTCGTTGAAACAGCAGCAGAATATTTGTTGACGCATCCACACTTGCATACTATTGCAACAGGTATAACCACTGGAGACCCACCTACCGAAGCCAGTCGTGATTCATCGAGTAATCCTACCGCAAGAGATACAAGTGCCTCAGGATCAAATGCTGACGCAGCTGGTACTTCAGGTGCTGATGATGATGACATATCAGATAACGAAGACGAAGTTCCCGGTGAACAGACTGAATTAGCCCAGGCCCTTGCTTTATCAATGCAGGATAATCAAAAACCCGATGAAAGTGGCGATACAAATGATGTGCCAGTACCTATGGAAACCGATAATACTACAAAAAAAGTAGACAAAGGTAAAGCAAAAGAAATTTCGGCGATAGATAAACTCAAAGAACTCAGGGATGAACTTAAATCTAGCTCTGCAGCTCGTGCAATCGACCTCTTGGGCAAAGTAGAAGATATTATTTTTGAAGTTAAGGATCTGTTTGTTCTTTTGGGCAAAGATAATTTAGAAAAAACAATAGAATTGGTGATTAAAAACATCGAGTTAGCGAGAAGCCATACGGACGAACAACGTAAGAAAGTTTTAGGTTCCCTTTTAAGGCTTTTGGCGCTTTTAGCGAACGAAACGAGTATACAAGAAAAAATTTTCCAGTTGCCATTTAGTATATTTAAGGAGATGTTGCTCATGATTTCTGAACAAATCAACACTTCACCTGAGACAGCGTTATCAAAATGGCTTGCTCCGGCTTTACTTGTAGTTGAGGCTTTCATCTCATTATCTGATGAGCCAAAAAGTGTCGAATTAAACATAAAACCAGAGGAATCAAAAGAAATTGATTCTACGATGATAGAATCAAGCTCACCAACAGATTCACAACGATCACAGCTTCTTGAATGTTGCCTATCATTTTTAAAACGGAAGGATCTCGACAAAGATATAACAAATGCATTACTTCGAATTCTTGTTCGCCTTACCCGATGTCACTCTGACGCAACTGAATTTGTCAAAAAAGATGGTTTGACACTACTATTCAATCAATTTAAGCCGCGATCCCATGATTTCCGTGGCCAACAAGTATTTATAGTAATGATACTGAGACACATTATCGAAGACACATCTGTATTGGAGACAATTACGGATCGAGAAATAAAGAATTGGTTTAATAATTCTCGTTCTCGAACCGTTGATATTCACGCATACCTTCGTGGTACAGCTCAATTTGCCCTTCGAAATCCGGAAATATTTATTCAATCTACTAAGAAACTTTGTAAGTTACAGAGATATGAGCAAAGTGGGCGAAATCAGATCACTTTAATTAAACAAGAGGAATCCAGTAATGCCACTAACAAAGATGCCACAACGGGTGAAGAAGAGATGACTGATGCTGTTCCATCTACATCTGCTTCAATTGAATCTCCTAAAAAATTTTCATTTGGCTCCGAAGTTGCCGAGGGTCTTGTTCAATTTATCGCAAACGAGTTAATCTCAATTCGTAGTCATACTAATCCTGCGTCATCGAATTCTAAGCCATCAGAATCTACTTCAGTTGAAGAGAGTAACGAAAATGGCAGCAATTCTATTACTACTACAGCCGCTACTTCTACTGGTGGAAATTCACAAACGACAATATTTAAACCAGAGGAACATTTAGATTACTTGTGTCGTTGCTTCTTGCTTCAATGTTTAACTGAGCTTCTCTCTTCGTATCCTTCATGTAAAGTTGAGGTGATGACTCTTTCACGTCGAAAAAGTAGCATGGGTGCTGGTTCTCAACCCAAATCCAAGACTCCGCTTTTGACCTATCTCTTGAATGAACTACTTCCTTATGGATGCATTACCCCGTCAACCGAAATAGAAATGCGCAAACGTTTTGGACAGTCAAAATGGACAATTTCAGTTTTAGTAGCACTGTGTTCAAGTATAAGCGGCGAGACAGATGAGAAAAAGACGCAACCTGAGCTTATCCAAGTTAGAAAGTTCGTATTGGATGGTATTATTCGTTCTTTCAAAAGTGCTATCTCTTCTTCTGACCCAATAGAAGCCAAATATGGAAGACTTTTAGCATTAGCTGAATTGTGTCATGCACTCCTCACTGCGCGTACCAGTCCAAATATAACTCATAAACCCGCTGAAGATGGACCCGCCAGTATTGCAAAAATTATGTTGGATAAAAACTTTGTGAACACACTGACAGATGCTTTATTCGATGTTGATCTAAATTACCCCTCGGCGAGGATATTGATCACAGCTCTTTTGAAACCTTTCGAATATCTCACAAAGATTGCCATTAAACTGGGAAGATCTACTGAAAACTTAACCAAAGATGAAAAAGAAAAACGACGTGACAGTATCTCTTCAGTTTCCACCCCTTCTGTCGATGATGCAAACCCCGAAGAGGCACCTGATTTATACGCAAACTCAGTGCTTGGTGCCCTTGAAGGAAGAAGGGTCGACAGTGATGAAATGGATGACGAAAGCCTGGACACTTCCGAAGAAGAACGAAGATATGATGACGGAGAATTTGACGAGGAAAGTGACCTGAGCGAAGAAGACGATGATGATGATGGCGATGATGATAACGGAGATGATATGGATGTGGAAATACTTGTTCATAGTCATGCTGTGTTGGATGATGAAGGTAATGAGGAACGTGATTCTGAAAATGAGCGCGAAATTCGTCAACGCTTAGAGAATGAAGATGACTCTGAAGATGAACATCTTCACGTTCAAGATGGTGATGATGATCAGGAAATGTGGGATGTTCATGAACAAGTTATGATAGAACGTGGCGATATCGCTGAAGAAGTAATCGGTGATGATGAAGGGCATATTCATCGGCATCGTCGTCATGATCGATTCGGAGGCAACGACGATGGTGCGGACAGAGACATTATGTTAGTAGACGAAGATGAGGATGACGAAGATGAAGACGAAGACGAAGATGAGGATGATGAAGCTGATGAAGGAGAAGAAAATGAGGTGTTGGAAAGTGGAGATATAGATGATGGATTTGATAACCGCCTCAACTTTAATTGGGGATGGAACCAACCAGGAACATTGTTTATGAATGAAGATGATTTTGGCATACCAACCCGAACAGGTCGTCCATTATTTAGTTTTGGAAATCGGCGTCATCGACATATTCCTCGAAGAAATCTTATGGAAGTTCCTCATGAGAGCCTCGATTATGTTATAGGCGATCCAGTTAGTTTTAATTTCACCACTAATGATGACATTGATATCCCTGGGTTAGGACGAAGTCGACCTTTGGCAAGTACGAACGATGATGTCACGACTCATCCACTACTTATCAATCGTTCTCCCGCCATTCCATCTATGTCCAATTCTGAATTGACGAGGGGACGTAGTGTTCGCAATGGACCCTTAGGTGATTGGGCTCAATCAATTGAAGAACTTATTGGCGGTGGCGCTGTTCAGTTATTAGAACAATTACTTAGTCGAAGTCGCCTAGGACAACATTCCACCTATCGACTCGAGTTAAATCCTACATCACCTGGTTTAGTGAGCAACATTGAAGTCGAAAGAGTTTTTCCAAGATCCCTTTCAACTTCTCAGGATACTCAAAACGTGATACCGCCGAGCGATCCCATTACCGCAGTTCAAGAATTTATGCCTCATTCTACTAGTCAGCGTTGGTGTGATGAAGCTCGAATGATGTATGGTTCTACTGTTTCAGAAAAAGCTACAAAGTTGGTGAATCACATCTTGAATGTCTTGACCCCTCTTGCTATTGAAGAAGAAAAAAGACGAAAAGAAAAGGAAGAAAAAGAAAAACAAGAGAGAGAAAGAAGACTTAGAGAAGAAGAAGAGCGAAGGAAGGTTGAAGAAGAACAAAAAAGAAAAGAAGAAGAGGCAGCGAGACTTAAAGCTGAGGAGGAAGAAGCAGTTGCTAGGGAGGCTGCGGAAACTCAATCTACAACAGAACAAACACAACAACCCATGAATGAATCAACAGCAGAATCTAATGAGATTGTGGAAGTTACTGAAGTCACTGAAATAATAGAATTCCCGGATGCCATGCAAGAAGATGCTCCAACAAATGAATTAGGAAATGTAGCGGAAACGACAGCAATGGAGGAAGAACCGACTCCTGTGACTGTTGTTCCTAGTGTTCCCATGGAAGAAGACACAACTTTAGAGTCACCAGTCATCACGGGTTCGTCACAAGCGGCAGAAAACGAAAATGCAGCAGAGGGCTCCAGTGAAGCACCGTCCAGTAGAACTACCGTCATGGTCAACGGTCAATCTGTGGATATCACAGATACTGGTTTCGACCCAACTTTCCTCGAAGCTTTACCGGACGATCTGAGAGAAGAGGTACTCAACCAAAATTTGCCACCTGAGAGACGTACCAGACCGCCGGTTGCCACTGGAGGCGGCGACGCAATTAGTCCAGACTTTTTGGCGGCTCTCCCTGATGATTTAAGAGAAGAAATTATTCAACAAGAAGAGGCACTTGGACAACGTCAAGCTGTTGCTGCTGAAATGGATACGGCAAGTTTCTTTGCATCTTTAGATCCCCAATTGCGACAAACAGTTCTTCTTGAACAAGACGAGGTAGTCCTAGCATCATTACCACCATCAATTATTGCTGAAGCAAATGCTCTTCGAGAAAGAGCCAGCCGAAGGTATACGAACGCGGTGAGGTCAAGAACATTAGCTAATACCGCTTCACCGGCACATATCCCGAAAAAGCCTACAGTCCAACGTGATGCCATGAAACTTGTTGATACCACTGGTTTATCCACGCTAGTTAGATTGTTATTCCTACCTCAACCTTTGAATAATAAGAATCTGTTGCATAAAATATTACTTAATCTTTGTGAAAATAGCAAAACACGCGGTGAACTTATAACCATGCTGCTTTCAGTTTTATATGAAGGAAGTGGAGATGTGTCGGCAGTTGATAAAAGTTTTGCACAGATGTCTTTAAGAGCAAAAGGAACTGCGAAAGGAACGCCAAGGAGACAATCAAGCCTTCCAAATCCTTCTCTTGCTCAGATAACTCAGGCAGCCGGAGAAAATGTTCCAAATTTAATAGCGCAACGTTGTTTAGAGGCATTGACTTATATTGTTACCAATGATGCTTCAGTCACTTATTTTTTGATGGAACATGAAAACAATATTGGACTTAAAAGATCGAATAGCCGTAAGGGAAAGGAAAAACAAACAAAGACAATAATAAACAAATATCCAGTGGTGATATTGCTAAGTTTGCTTGACCGTCAAGTATTTATTAAGAATACTGCTTTGATGGATCAATTAATGCAGTTACTATCGACAGTTTTACGTCCCTTATCTTCATTGGCTAAAAATGAAACAACAAAGGAACAATCAAAACCCACTCCCACTCCCACTCCCACCGAACCTTCAACGCAAGATATCGCCCCACCACAACCTACCGAAACACTCACCCAAGAAGAAAATGCGACCCCTGTCAACCCTGAAAGTGAAACAGCATCGAAACTTGCACCGGCTTCAACTTCAAAACCATCAGAAACGGAACAACCAACTTTAAAACCCCCAGAAATTCCAGACCATTGTTTGCGACTGGTGGTGAACGTCCTAACCGCTGGGGAATGCATCAGTACTACATTCAAGCATACTTTATCTGTTATTCAACACCTTTCAACTTTAAAAGGAGCCAAGGAGGTTATAACATCAGAACTGGTTGATCGAGCACAATCTCTTGGAAATGATATATTAGATGATCTGGATGAATTGAGTAAAATATTGTCGAGAACAGATTCAGGCGTAGATGTTCATGGCGTGACTTTGGCAAAATTTTCACCTTCATCATCACAGCAAGCAAAACTCCTTCGTGTTCTCAAAACCATAGATTATATGTATTCGCGAAAGCAACAAGTATCATCAACGTCGACTAATACACAAGTTGAAGTGTCACTTGCGCCCACAGTAGATCCGGACGAAGTAGACACCACTGCACCACGGACATTATTAGATGGTAATATGAGAGGTACAAAATTGACTGAGGATGAGGAAAAGGTTATGAAGATATACGAAAGTCTTAACTTTACAGATCTCTGGAAAAAATTAGGTGCATGTTTGACCGGTATACACGAAAATCCCGAGATGATTCATGTGGCAACTGTATTACTACCTCTTATTGAGTCTTTAATGGTTGTATGTAAATATGTTGGTATGGCACCATCTAAGGGAACATCTACATCTCAGTCCTCTCCTGAAAGCATGGAAGAATTGTTCTTCTCCTTTACTGAAGATCACAAAAAGATTCTTAATACAATGGTCAGAAACAATCCATCACTAATGAGTGGTTCGTTCTCATTACTCGTACATAATCCTAAGATTCTTGAATTCGACAACAAGAGGAACTATTTCAATCAACAGCTTCACAAGCGAACTAATACCCGTGACCATTACGGGACGATACAACTCAATATAAGGAGACAATATGTATTTGAAGATTCTTATCAAAATATACAAAGAAGAACCGGAGATGAAATCAAATATGGTAAATTAAGTGTTCGTTTTGCCGATGAAGAAGGAGTAGATGCCGGAGGTGTAACGAGAGAGTGGTTCCAAGTTCTTGCGAGACAAATGTTCAATGAAAATTACGCATTGTTTAAGACTTCCGCTGCAGACAGACTCACATATCAACCTAATAGAGCCTCAGGAGTAAATCCAGAACATTTATTATACTTCAAATTTGTCGGTCATGTAATCGGCAAGGCAATTTATGATGGTAGACTTTTGGACGCCTACTTCACGCGTTCCTTCTACAAGCATATTCTAGGGAAACCCGTTGATTATAGAGATGTTGAGGCTATAGATTTAGAATATTATAATAGTTTGGTGTGGATGCTGAACAATGATATCACCAACGTCGTGGATTTGACATTTAGTGTAGAAACGGATTATTATGGCCAAAAACAAACCATTGAACTGAAAGAGAATGGAGCCAATATTCCAGTTACAGAAGAAAATAAACGAGAATATGTTACGCTTGTTACAGAACAGAAGCTGACCTTGGCAATCAAAGATCAAATAGAGAGTTTCCTTTCCGGATTTCATGAAATAATTCCACCTCATTTGATCAGCATATTCAACGAACAAGAACTAGAATTACTGATTTCCGGATTGCCGGATATTGATATTGATGATTGGAAAAATAACACTGAATATCAGAACTATACAGCCTCTTCACCTCAAATTCAATGGTTTTGGAGAGCTGTGAGGAGCTTCAGCCAAGAAGAGCGAGCTAAACTATTACAATTCGTAACCGGTACCTCAAAAGTGCCGTTAGAAGGGTTTTCTGCATTACAAGGTGTTAATGGTGTGCAGAAATTCCAGATTCATAAAGATTTTTCAAAATCAGATCGTCTTCCTTCTGCTCATACATGGTAAGCATTATTTGATATTCTAGTATGATTTATATGTTAATACTGATTTATATTTTCTCAATAATACAGTTTCAATCAAATTGATATTCCCGAGTATGAAGATTATGAGCAGCTAAGGTCACAACTGTTAATGGCAATTTCAGAAGGAACAACAGGATTTGGATTCCAATAATCAGTTTTCCGAATTTTTCGATTGCGTTTAAATAGAATACGAGAACATTATATAATCATCTAATGTTTGCATAAGGTGAAAGCTAAAAAATACTTATGTTAGGCTCGCACATACGTGAGTATTTGGAAATAGCAAAGATTAGGATAGGTGACTTTGTAATTCACAAAAAAAAGTCTCAACTAATATATTGCAATATTACATCTTTTATTTTATTTTACTTTTGTTCAATTTACGATTTTTACAATTTCTTTATTATTTGTGTATATTTCTTCATTTAGGATAGTAACAAAGATTGGTTGACCAATTTTTTTGCTCGTCCTAGATTTATTACAATAAACTTTAAACTTTGCTTCGAAATTTTCTGTAGTGTACCCGATATTTCAAAAAAGTATTGTGATAAATATTACTATTTTAATATAAAAATTTGTTATTAATTAAATCCCAAATACAGTTGACCTTTTCGAAACTGATCTTATCAAAATCAATAATCTATTGTAAATAGCTAAAAATTGATTTATGTTACTTAATAATTCTATAATAATATGGTTTTTGCAAAATAGTAGAATTAAATATTATTATATACAAATATGATTTCAATTATATAATAACAAAACATATAGTACTAAGCTTACAGTATATATGTAGCTATTGTTTTTTTTGAAGGGGGGTTTTTTTTTATTTGATATTGTATATAACAAGATATAAATTATAAAAAAAATAACATTTCTTGGATGCAAAGGATATATAACAATTTAAATTCTAGTTTGCTTGCAAAATAATATTTAATATTAAAAAAAATTTCAAAAGCAATATTAATATATTAGATATAGTTAAGTAGTGACTATATTTATTAACTTAAAATTTTTTTGAAATTTTTTGATAAAATATAAAATAAAATAAAAAATAAAAAATAAAATAAATAAATAAAAAACTCTTTCCTGTATACAAAATTTTTCTTAAAAATTTCCTTTTATAGCAATTTTTTTTAAAATTAAAGAAACAATTTTTTTTATCTTCATTTTTCAATATCCAAAAGTTCTTCTTACTTCTTTTATCTTCATTACAAGAACCTCAAAAAATCTAGAAAAGTATACTGGTGCATCAGAATAGGACCTCTGGTCAAGGAAAAGCAAGTTTAGGGTTCTTGCTTTTTTCTTGAATTGCATGAGGAAAGACCCATAACAGTTACTTTTCTACAAATCTTCCTTAAAGTTCTTTCCATTTATACTTCTTATTAAAAAACCATTTTCTGTTTTTGGAGGGCTGTTCTCTAACTCAAAAAATCAAACCTTATATCACTATTGCCTATATTGTTGACTTGAGGCATCAGCAGTATATTCAATACTCATTCTCCAATATCACTCAGCATAATATACTGTGCTACAAAAAACCAAAAATTTTCACTTCAAAACTTTTTCACCAAAAAACCGTAATCAGTTTACTCTTGTCAATTGATTACCATCTCAAACTTATCCAATCAAATACTACCAAATACCAAAACAAATCTGTACAACTAAAATATCACATAATAATTAATATAAACAAAATCAATTTTGGTAACTACAATTAAAACAAAATCACATCACTAACTTGTAAACCAATCATCTCATCAACTATCAATTATACCAATACAATAACAATAACAACTACAATAACAAACCAAATCACATATACCTTATTATTCATGTTAACAAATATTATGCTTACAAGTAGCAAAAAATCAGAAAGACAAAACAATGAGCCTGGTCAAAGGTTCTCTTGGAAATATGATTTTTTTTCTCATAGATTTTATAGTTTATTTGATTTTGTTCTAGTTTTAATTACTTTTATTTTTTATTTTTTTTCTTTTCTTTTCAAATTCTCCTTATATCTTAAATATTTTTTTTCTAAGTAAATAAGCATAGCTACTACTTGACCTATATTTAGCAACAATATTGTTTTAAAAATTTCTTTTCAGAATTAGTTATTTATAATTTTAGTAGGTAGGTTAACATTAAACTTGTTATATGCTTTGCACCCAAGAGATGTTGATTCTTTATGAATGAATATCTTGTAATATACAAATAAATAAAGAATTGGTGTTTATCTATGGAAAAAAAAAAATAATAAAATAAAATAGATATATATATATATAGTTTTTTTAAGTTAGCTAAGGGCATTAGATGCAAGACTTTTATTTACTAATTAATAGTACTGTCATTACATCAAACATCTTTACAGACTAAACTAAAAATAAAATAGATATTATTAAAACTAAAACTAAATTAAATATATAAAATCTATAAAAATAAAAGTTGTCTTTTAAGAAAACTTCTAGTTAAACTTATTTGTTTCAATTTTTTAATACCTTAAAACTTATAAATATAACTTTTGTTAATACAAATAGTCAAATATAAGTAAGAATTCTAGCAATTCAATTTGATTTGATTTTCAATTCTTGGATTTATATTAAATTTAATATATGGGTTATAACTCATTATCATTTTTAATAATGTTCTGAACCTTATATAAGTCTATATAAGTCTATTCAATTTCAATTTTGGAATCATAAATATAAGTGATATTATTTATTGTTTTAATAATAGCTATTGTTATTATACTATAAAACTAGTTTAAATATATTTGATTTTTATTTTGATATTTAAATAAAATTTAATAAAAAAATTAATTATTTAAAAAAATAAATTTAAAAATATTAAAAATTTTAAAATAATACAATATTGTTAAAATATAATTATGTATAAGAATTAATTTAAAAAAAACAATAAATTCATTAACTTTTTTTAAATATGTTTTTTAAAAGTATTTAGTTTTACAAGTATAATAATATTAATATAACTAATTTTTATAATAAAATAAATATATAAAAGAATATAAAAGAACAAAAAAGAAAAAAATTATCACAAGTTTTTTCTTATATAATTAAAAAATAAGTAAGACTTTTAAATTTAAATAAAAATTAATTAAAAATTTTATTTATATTAATTATTTTGATTTTTGTGTTTCTAAGTTAAAATTTATTTGTAATAAAAAAAATAGAAAATTTTTTTAACAAAATAAATATAATTAGAAGTTTTAATCTGTAAATTAATAGTATGGTGGATAATACTTCCAGGTTTTCAAATACATGTTCCAAATTTAATACTTATAAGAGACAAATTATATAAACTTTACCTTTTATAATAAGTTTATTGGTTTTTCTATTGTAAGAGGGACCAAAAAAATTAGATAGATTCAACATATGTCATCCTCGCCCAATTAGGGTTTAATTGGGGCTTGAGGGATTTTTGGGATTT